TAAACCAATCTAAAAAAGAACATTGTTTGGAGGAGAGAAGAGACCAATGGTAGTTTTGGCATTACTTTTCTAATTTATCTTTTACTTTATATATTTATTTTTTTTAATGAATACTAAAGTGTAGTTAACGTTGGGTTTTATTAGTATTAGTATTATTATTTCTTTTGTAGTTTTTTTTTTTTATAGAGAGTCTACTGGATTTGAAATTTGTCAACTTCTGGGGAAGCTATTATTGGTCTGTTTGAATATTATATTGTGTTATGTCAATTTCACAATAGCTCAGCATTGATAAGTCAAAAGCATGGATTAGTTCATTTAAAGTTTTTAACACCAAGGGTAAGGATTATAAACAGATTAACAGTCGGAGAAAAGAAAAAAAAGGGATAAGAATTATAGAAGATGCTGCATGGAATGCCAGTACTTTAGGTTTTATTAGTTCATTACGTCATATTTGAGAGGTATCGATAATGATATTGGGACGAGGATGTGGTATTTGGTATTGACACGCAATAGTAAAAAAAAAAACATTTTGGGTAAATTATTAAAATACACCCGAAATTTGGACTATTAATAGTTTATTGTATCTGTATTTAATGAATTTCAAAAATGATTTTGATATGTGAAAATTCTTAAAATACTGGTAGACAATCAAATGTCCACAAAATAAAACATATATATATATATATAATATTAAATCATCTAGATTATATAGAAGTAGTCAATGTGCTTATTCAAATTTCCAAAAATTTGAATATTCAAATCTTGTTTTGTCAAACATAGCATTAATGGGCCATTTGAAATTTGAAAACAAGAGCATTGCAGGGAATTTGAAACCTGATCGAAAAATATGAGTAAGATGTTGAATAATTTGAAACGTTAATGTAGTTTGATAGATTTCCCAATAAATTTGTTGAATGTTTTTGCTTTCATAGACAAGTTATATTGATTAGTTGGTATGGTTTTCAAAACATACAATTTCAGGTAAGTTTTTGTTTTCACATAAATTTATATTTATTTTTTTGGTGTGTTTTTCTAAATTTTGCTAAAAAATGCAATTTCAGCGCCAAAAACCTTTACGATGGAATTTTTTCACCCATAATTATGAATTTTAAAACTCTAAAAATGATATTGATCGAGCAGATCTATAGACACTTTAAAATTTGGGAAATAGAGGTCTAGATATTGTGTTACAAAATGTACTATTTTAAGATTTGAAATGCTTTTTTTTTTTTTTTTCAATTAACATGGGTTCTTTCATAAAGTTTCTAAAACGGTGTTCTTGGGGCTATTATATTTAGTATAAGGAGTGTCTGCTTTAATACACAGAATGTGAGTTTGAAAGTGCTTGTGCACCCTTCAAACACTGTACTTTTTGGAATGGCCGTAAGCTTGGCTGATGAGGATTGAGGTTTCTTATCAGAGCAAAAAGGTCACAGCATTAACATTCTACCAGCACTTATCCACCAACCAATTTATTAAATCTGATGTTCCAAAAATGAAATGGAAGGAAGCATGAAAAAGACAATTGGGCCTTTGATTGAATGGCCCACATGCAAATTGCCACTAAGTCACAAGGGCCACAAATATTAAATCTATGATAAATAGTATCTTATTCTTGTTATCAGGGATTAAGAATCCGTAACCCATCTCTACCGGGCTCTCATTCAAAGAGTCCCGGTTCCGGATGATTTTTGAACCGGATATCATAGGGATAATGCTGAACTTGGGCGATTCCTACATTCGAGATATTTTACTCACCAGGAAAGCGATTCAATATAAGATAACCCTAGTTGACAACCATTAATGGTCCTAAATGCGCTACGGATTATAATCTAATGTTTTAAAACCTGACAAACATGATCAGAAAATTGTCAATCTGGACCAGGTCCAGTGGGTGGGCGACCCAATCCCCAGCAACAAAATCCCAAATTTATTTATATTATTTTTAATTGATTTTTCACTGGTTTAGCCAATCAAAATCGCCAATCCAGTTCATTAATCCAGCCCTCTAGATTGGGACTGTGAGTGGGCGATCGTATTATTGATATGTTATTTCAGAACACATAACATGTATAAAACATTTAAGGAAAAGTTTATATAAGGTGTCAACATTATTATGCAGATGTGAGGTACACATAAAAAACCAAAGGAAAATAACTTTTTCAATCTTGATAAACCCTCGAATTGATTATCTCGACATCTAGATATATGAATATAAGAAAAAAAAATTTCAAGTCCTAAAAATAGTGCAGTTCGTAACACATTATATGACTTGTCTAATTTTGAGATTTTCAAGAACTTGTAGATATGCTTGATTTATATAATTTATGGAGCTTTAAATTCCATAATCATTTTTCAACAAATAAATTTCTACCCTTGGATTGTTACGGCTTACTTCAACCGTCTAAAAACCACATCCCATAAGAAAACTTAAACATCGTTGCGTTAGAGAGAGAGAAAGAGGCGTTTGGCATTACAAACTCTTGCAATATTATTTCATTAGTACTAAAGAAAATAGTGGGGGATGTAATATTATTGTAAATATTTGATAAATCTATAAAAATAGATTTAGGGGATAGATTACTAATATTTTATTAATTTTTATTTTAATTTCAAAAAACCCATCAAAAAATAGTAATCATGAGCTATACGTTGAAACCTTAGTGGGCATTTCCCTGAGGCGCAGAGTGAGTGTGCAGGGGGACACTATGACAAACGGACTACTTGGACATTATAAGCGGGGAAAAGTTTATGTAAGGTTGTAATCTTAAAATGTACAATCAAAGATCACCTAAAATTTCACCATAAAAGTTGTGTGGATGTTGAAAAACCCTTTAATTGATCATCTCGGTATCGAGATGGATGAATATAAAAATAAAATAAGACTTCAAGTCCGTGACATAGTGTATCTTGCAACACATTATATGGACGGTCTATTTTCAAGACTTTCATGTGTTTTTAGATCTAATTGATTTGAACCAATTTTAGGGTTTAAACGTTTATATTTAGAGGTGAAAATAGATTCTCAAACCATCCTAATAATTTTTAATATCAAAATTATATTTGTGATAAAATTTAGAGGTGTTCCCTCTGCCATTGATAGATAGTTTGGGAATGATCACTATCCGTACCCTCATCGTTATCATCATTAGTTGTTTTTTAACTATTGGAGTCTGCTAAACAAATCATGATTCACCATTCTACTAAATGATTATTACCTTCAACGAGGCCAGAAACTCCCGATATATTTTTTTCACTACTTCGAACCATGTCAGTCTAGGCCAATTCATTATCCTTTTTAAGCCTTCTACTTGAATTAACTCGCACCACCTAACAACGAGGTGATGAGAACTTTTATTTGAGAAATTTGCTTAAATTATTGATAAGGGAATCACTAATGTCCCTCCCCCTATCTATTTAGGAGTTCACTTTCCCAATATGGGGTGGCATTTAGAACTAGGAAAGGGAAAATGAGGAGATGCTAAAAACAGGGTATCGACATTTTGAAAAAAACTGAGAGTGATATTTACTTTGATAAATCAATAAAATGTTAAATATTTTAGTCTTGAAATGTATTTCTTTGAACATTTTCATTTTTAATATTAACAAGGGTGAGGTTTGTATAAGGTGCCCACCTTACACCATAGAAGCAAGGCACATCTCTAAATTTTGCCGGGAGATGTAATTCAAAGTGTCGAGAACGTTATGATCGCTTGAAAATCCATGTTCAATCCATATTATGAAATTTAAAATTTAAAAAACTGTGCAGATCGAATAGATATATAAATAATTGAAAAATTTTAAAAGTAGGCTCTCCATATAACTTGTTACAAAATGAACTATTTTTAGGATTTAAAATTTTTTTTGTCTTTATATCCATTTATCTCAAAGTCAAGATTGTCATCTGGAAGGTTTTTACAACTTCCGAATTTTTTGTTTACTAGATTTTTGAGGTATACCATACTTCTAACATAAGGTTACAACCTTATATAATACATTTTCCTATTAAAAAACTTTATATAAGTTTAATATTGAAAAACATATAGAGATTATTCATTTTTAGTACAATGAGGTCACAAATACTTTTGTGTCAAATTCTAAAGGACGCGGTTAGCATGCGGCGAAGCCCTCACATGTGCAAATGCTGGCTTGGCAATAAACATATTTTTAAATATAATTTGATCCTAATTTTCAGAGAATTTATAATCTTTAACATGGAGATTATGACTATGAATAAATAAATAAATTTAAAAACTAGAAATAATAATTATATTCGAAAATATTTGGACCTTTAATTACAGTTGTTTTAGATGGATTAAAGATGGATGCTTTACACCTTTAGACCGCATATTTTCCAAATGCGGTCCAGCCCGCATGAAACAATTGTTCGATACTAAATTAGGTGGTTTTAAGTGTGTCATGGACTAAACTTAATTCAAAACAAACTTTTTCAAACTTCGTGGCATGGTGTTCAATTTGAAATTTAATGGTTAGGAGTATAAAACATAAATAGATATTCTCGTACTTTAGATACTTAGACAAAGTATATAAAGTTTGAGAAAATATAGAGTAAGACCATTTTACTTTTGATATAACGTGAGACGTTAATCTTGACCACTGAATAAGAAATTGGATAGCTGCAATTATTTCATTACCAAATTCAAACTTAAAAAAAAAAAATCTCAAAACTGAAGACACATCTAAACCATCAAACTTCACATGAATGGTCGTGAGTAATTGTTACCACCTTGATATAATGGTCTCTGTAACACCTTGATATAATGGTCTCTGCATACAATCCGATAAAGTTTATGTAAGGTCTTTATCTCAAATCCTATATTTTGACCTTTCTGTCCTTGCTCTTTATTATTGATTAGCGACAGGCGCCCTTTGACAGAATGACACGTGTCATTACACAAAAATATGGACATGCTGGAAAAAGACCGTTAAAGGATCCGAGCGTGACGAAACCAGCTATCGCCGGTGTCCCTCGACATAGCCGGTGATCTATAAAATCCCCACCAGAGACACACACAAATTCCACCACTCATCTCTCTTTCATTTTCTTTTGGCAAATTAGGGTTAGGGTTGCAGGATCAGCTCGGAAGATTTTCCTTGCTTTCCTGCATCCTTATCCCTTTTTCTCTCTCTAGCCTATAAAGGTTCGCTTTAAGCATATCGGGTTTCTCATTCAGCAGTTACAGGAGAAGAATATCTGGTAAATTTCCCTTTTCTCTCTCTTCCCGTTCTCTCATGATCTCTCTATCCTTTTGAATTTTTCTCATTCCTCTCTCTCCTCTTTATCTCTCATCATTTCTCTCTATCCTTTAAGTTTCTCTCTCTTCTGGTTCTGTCATCATTTTCTCTGGACCTATCCATTAAAGCCTCGCGGTAAGAATCAATCATAAACGGTCTCATTGTTTTCTCTCTCTAACCTTTTTAACGTTTTCCTTTCTCTCTCATAATTCATCTTCATCAATTAAACCTTCACTTTTAAGAATCGGTATTTCCTTGAAGTTGCAGAAGAAGAATATTTGGTATTCTCTGGACGCGCTTTGGATCCGGATCTTCGAAGTTCGAGGTCTGAGATTTCTCACCGTGTTCTGCAGTTTTTACCATTTTTTATTCAAGAAAGTGTTTGTTTTTGTTACTTTTGTATAGGGAATTTCTCCTCTTCTGGTTTTTCTATATCAAAAGATCCTTTTCTGATGACGTTTTCTTTTGCAGTATCGTCTTATTCTGTAGCCCTCGCCTTGAAGTTTCAAGTTTCGTCGTCTTCTGGTTATCGATTGCTTGCGCTCTCTGCTGTGGTAGGTAAGGTCGTTCTGTGATTGGAACGCTTCTCCAAACACGTTTTCTCCTCTCTCTCTTTCTAAAGTCTAAACATTTCATCGTTCTCCTTTCTCTGTCTATACTTTTCATGTCTCAGGGGATTCAGATCGATCACGCGGGAACCTTTTGCCGGATTACTCGGAAAATCTTCACAGGGTAGATTTTACGGGGCAATTACCGCCTGAATTTGGGTTTTCCGGCAGCCATTGATAGATAAGGGTTTTGAGATTGTCTTTGAAGCCTCAATTGCTGTATTTTATTGAAGATCTATGGAGAAAGAAACAGAAGCCATGTCTCTGCAAAAAAAGGGCCTTTTGGCCTTTTTCTCTCTGAGAAAGTAACATATCGTCACCTTGTAACTCTTTTCCCTCAAGAATTCATCTTCTCCTGAGCCATGGCCACCTCTCCTCTAAAGACACCAGAGTTCTCAATGGCCGCTCCCGACCACCCACGATTCGCAGGCCAAAAGCCAATAGATGCAGAGGAAGTATCAGAGCTCCTCTTCTCAAAGCGAGGTTGTTCCATTTGGTTCTGCTGCTTCAGATCAGAGGACTCAAGCTCGAGCCCGGTCTTCAAGGGTGAATGTTGGGAGAGGATGAAAGCAGCCGCCTCCGAACCAGAGAACGAGAACAAATGGTGGATGAAAGGGTGGAACGCTCTCAAAAAAGTGAGAGAATGGTCTGAATTGGTTGCAGGCCCCAGGTGGAAAACCTTCATTCGAAGATTCAATAGAAGTGGAAAGGGAAGAGCTGGAAAGTTTCAGTATGATCCTCTGAGTTATGCCCTAAATTTTGACGAAGGCCATAGCCAAGAACTTGACCACCAAAATTACAGTGATTTCTCGACCAGGTTTGTCGCCCCGTCAGGGAGAAGCCGAGATTTTGGCAAAGATGCGCCCCTTTTTCGCCAAACAATTGATACACAACAGTGAGGAATCACCATACGCGAGGTTGAATCTCTGGTTATTCTCAAAAAAAAGAAAAAAGAAGAGGCAAAAAAACAGGAAAAGAAGAGGCTGAATCTTTGCTACACAAGAGGGTGGTGCATGGTAGGCGAGGGGGTGGCCCATCATAAGCAAGTGGTGCATGGCTGAGACTTTTATGCACCAGAGGAGTATGGTACGCATGAGGGTGGAGCATGTTATATTGAGAAGCCGTATGAGAGATGGAGTTTGGTTTTTTGGGGGAGTGTAGGCGTATGGAATTCATTTGATTGTTTTGAAGAAGAGGATAAGAAGATTTGGTGGTGTTATGTGTGAGGTGTATACTTTGAGTTTTTCCCTGTATATTTGGAATAAATGCTTGTATCTCCATTAATTTTCCATCAAAATATATCGGATGATCAATTTTCAAAGTTTTCAAATGGTTATAGAATGTCTCTACTTTAAACAACCAAGGCGCATAATGCAATTTTAAGTAAAACCATTGATGGTTGAAATTTTTTGTATGCTCCTAATCATATAATTCAAAGTTTAAAAAATTATGCAAATCCAAGAAATTTATAACAATTTGAAAATCTTGATCATTTCTTACCATATGAGTTATTTTCAAGACTTAAAATCATTTTTTTTATATTTATACATCTTGAGGTTTTATATCCATATATATTGAGGTGAAGATTGGAACAACGATGTCTAAAATGTTTTTAAAGCGCACCCTAATGGAATAGTATAAATCTGACATCTTAAGTAAACTTTTTCCTTTTGAGAAAACGCGTGTAGAAATAAGATCAAGAGCGTCTAAAAGCATTCCTTGCCTAGGTGAGGCAGTGCCGGACCTCGCTCGACGCCTCAGTTGACATAAGTACGTTACGCCTAAGCAAATGCGGCCCCTCGTTGCGGCCAACCCTTGGGCATGTGTCTCGGGGAAACATGTCCGGCAAACCTCGGCCGATGTGGCCCTTCGGCATGCCCCTAGGTGACTTTGGACCTAGGGGATGCCTCTTTTTTTGCCAACAGTCCCAGCCGATGTGTATCTCCTTGGTAGCCTAACTTTAAAGAGCAATGATTCAATGCAACGGTTGTATTATAGTATAATGTAACGACACTTCTAGAAAATCATATTTGTGGTATTTGTATGACCTCAAAATTTGCACACACATTCTTTTCATCTCAATAATCAATCATCTCCAAAAAAAAGTTCAATTTGAACCCTAGATATAGTTAAAATGAGTCTCTTCCAAAAACAAATCTAAACCGTTCATTATGTGAATTTCAAGATCTTAGCCTTTAAAAATTCAAAATCATTTTTTTTCTCTTTTAACATTGTTCATCTAATGATAATAAAGCCATCTAAAAAAGTTAGAAATGAAAAAATCCTTCTAAGGTCTAAATCTAAGCATCTCACCAAAATGAACGGCCTATGTTAATAAGGCTAAAAAAATACTTTCTAGGTGGTCTTTTAATTATTTTTTTTTTTTTGGTGTTTGTTCATTTGAACGAAAGTAATGCATATTTCAAAATTTGGATCAAACAAATAGCCATAAGATGGTTTTTTTAAGATCGTTGCATCATATTACTATGCAAACGGTTGCATGTAATCATTGCCCAATTTTGAAAGGGTTCCTTTGGCGGCCCTTGGGGTTCCTCCTACAATATTGTCAAAATTGGTGGATGAATCTACTTTTTTATATCTTGGATTGGTGGGTGAATCTAGTTTCGTATATCTTGGATTGGTGGGTGGACCGTTTATTTTTAGATCCATATCAGATTGCTCGATCAGTGATCTTGAACGATCTGGATCAATGATTCAGAAAATATTAAAAAATAAAATAAAGTAAAATAAAATTAAAAATATGATTTTATAAAGTGGGATTTAAGGAGACCTACAGAAATATTAGAGAAGCTTAGGAATTAAAAAAAGAAAATAAATACAAGGGAGTGTTTAGGGGATACTGAGATCCATACTATACCATAACCAATTTGGTATTGGCGTATTCCCGACCCAAAAGAATCGATTTAAAACACTGGGTGTATGAATTGATTGTTTTTAAGTGCATGGTGACGATTCCAAGCGATGAAAAGGTTCTTGATCATTATTTGGGAGCATATTAATAAAGATTACTTTTTAAGAAACCTCCATTGCATCTATAATAAGGTTGTTAGCTCCAAACAAAAGCGTGTCACTATATTCTATGTTTAGCGATTCCACAGTTGTGTTCCACTTCCGTGTTCTCTTTTATTAGAATGGTTGCCATACAAAATTACCTTGGCTATTAAACATTGGAAACTTTTATATGCGGTGTGACTTTTGAATAAAATATGGGATTCTATATTACGAGACAATTCATTTTTTGAATAAGGATGGTATAATTAATACTAGCCATCAAATGTAAAATTTATATAAGTTAGGACGTATCATAAAGTTTGAGATTTTATTTTTTGCCAATTTTGAGCCTAATCAAAAGTAAACTCTATGCTTTCAAATCTAATAGCCAAATATTATAAAATATATGTGACTGTTATTTTGAGCCATCTTATGCAAATGAGCTAAAGGAGTAAGATAACTCTAGTCAATGTTACATGCTAGCCTCTAAGTGTGAGGTCATGATAAGATGGCTCCGAGCGCTTTATTTTTAATTTTTATTGTACAAATCATTTGAGCATAAAATTTGGAGAATGCGCAATTTCCATAATGTGGCACCTAATAAAAACTAAGAAAATTATTTTCATTAAAAAAATTGACCATCTTGTCCCTTCAATTTAGATCGAGAATCTGGACCAAATTAATTCCAGAAAGTATCATTACTACTTTAGTCCCCCCTAAAACCCTAATGTCATTGTCTTTTGTTTTTTCTTTAGGAAATTTATCAAAGTACTTATAATATATTAAGAGAAAGTATAGAATAAGAATCATTTATCTTTGATACAAAGTGGTCACATTAATCTTAACAATTGGATGTGAAATTGGATGGCTACAATTATTCCATTGACCAAACACAAACTTCAAAAGAATTTTTTTCGAACTTTGTGACTAATCCAATCCATCAAACTTCACATCAAATGGTTGTAAGGAATTGTGACAACCTTGTATCAAAGGTAATAATGTCATTGTATACAATCCCATATATTTATCATTTAATACTTTAGCTATTTGGAACTATTCCACCTCAAGATCATGTGCTTTTTTATGAGTATTTTGAAAATAGGTCAAAATATATGATAAAGTGTTTAATTGTTAATCTCTTATGAGTAATTTGATAATTTGTTTTTTTTTAATTATCTATTATTTTTTTAAGTACCTCTGACACTTCATCTTATCGTTTGGATTTCAAATCAAGTGGTTGTGAGTATGTTATTTACTAGGTTCACAATTGAAATAAAATTCTCGAAATTTGTAGTACATCCCAAGCTGTCCAATCTAAAATCGGTTGGATAGGGAATTTGTGCTGTCCAATCTAAAATCGGTTGGATAGGGAAATTTGTGACCTCCTTATAATAAAGACAAATTGTCTTATAATATATAATCACTAATAAAAAATAACATCTCAAGATTGAATAGGAACCATCCAATTTTTAAAGGACAAGTTCGAGATGCTCGAGAATTCAAGATCTATTTTTTTTTTTCTTTAGAAAATAATCATCTTATAATATTGAGATGGATCCCAGAATTTCGGATTAAAAAAAATCCTTCAACTAGCCTTTTAGTCTGAAGGTGTTTTTGTACAGTATGTGGAGCAAGCTACCTGCTCCCATTCTGAAACTCTTGCAGTCCATGATGGAAACTCTCTCCATAAATGCACGAATTATGGATAGTGCCCTGCCTAAGCGAGTATACATGTTTTCTTTTCTCAGAGGATTCCAAAATTTGGAACAACCAATCCTCCAAGTACCTCTTTTGCCCAAGGTAGCGTCTGGTCATCTTTTTATCTATCCGGGAGAGATCTCTTGAGGCCATATCTAACGGCCAAAAATTGATCTCATATTTTATTTTTATTTTTAATGTAAATAACCATATGGAAAAGTATACAACGAAGCCATTTACCTTTGGTATAAGGTGGTCACAATTAATCTTGATCATTGAATGGTTGCATTTATTCCATTGACCAAGCACAAATTCAAAATAAGCTTTTTCGAACTTTCTGACACACTTGAGCTATTAGATTTAAAATCGGATGGTTATACGTAATTGTGACCTCCTTGTATCTTAAGTAAATGGTCTCATTGTATACAATCCCGTAACATATTTATTTGAATTTGGAGGCATAGCTTTGTTTTTTATCAATATAATTAGATAGGAATACTTAAAAGGAAAAAGTTTATATAAGGTTGCAAATATAGAATTACATATGCACATCAAAAAATCATTAGAAAATATTGTTTTAATATTGAAAAACCCTCTAATTGATCATCTCGACATCAAGATATATAAATATAGAAAAAAAAAGATATTGAGTCTAAAAAATAATGCATCTTGCAACATATTATCTAGACTGTCCATTTTCAAAAGTTGCATATATTTATCGATCTACTTGATTTTAACAATTTTTGTAGTTAAAATTTTTATCATTAGATACGAAAATAGATTTTAAGATAATCTTAAGAATTTTTTGAACCAAAATTATATGTTATGATAAGATTTGGAGGTGCACTTTGAATGGATTGTTTAAGGTTGCAACCTTATAGAAACCACACCCATACTTAAATATATTTTAGACAAAAAAATGATCAATTAAATTTATTTTATTGATATTTTTATTCAAAATTTTTTTTATTCTTTTCATTCAATTTTAATATAAAAAATATTTTTATTTTTATATAAAAATTCAGATAAAAATAAAATCCAATTTTAACTACTGGTTCAATCTGAACAATTAAAAAATACTTGTCCACCTTTCAAGCATACACAACATGCGGGCAAGAGTCCATGCACGGCTGGCTCACGATTGGCATAAGCAAAGAGGTGGAGTAAAAGCAAAACAAACCAGTGTTCA